TTTCAACATAACTCCGACAATTTTTGGAATAACTTTCAAACAGCTCCACCGATCGATTCCAAAAACTAATCAGCTCTTAACATCATAAAACCACGTCGATTGCCACCAAGCTGGTCAAAATCGGTTGATTCGTTCGAGAGATATCGTGAACGAAAGAAAACTGAAAAAAGTGTTTTTTCGGGATTACTCCGAAATTTTCGGTGCGATCAATTAAAACCTGAAAATCACATATGAGGATGATAAAACTGCGTCGAATGGCGTCAACCGCGTGAAAATTGGTTGATCCATTCAAAAGTTATTGCGGTTTGAAAATTCCAAAAATAGTGTTCTATGAAACTTCTATCAGACTTTTGAGCTGGGAGAGCTCAAATGCATTGAAATATTATTTCTTTGAACTCAGCGAGCTCAAAATATCACATAAATTATATTTTGAGCTCAAAAATCTCAAAAATGTCATAAGTACAATTTTAAGCGCCCAGGAATGGAATTAGCGGGAAGTTGCACGGATGGCCTTTAGGGTGAACCGTTTTTCTAATTTTTTTTTTCTCCAAACTAAAATTTTTTTTGGACTTAGAAAAAAAATAGGATTTTTATTATACGCTCTTATGGTTACCGGGTGCTTAAAAGTATTTAGGATTAATTTTAAATATAAAATATTCTTAAGTCTTTATTAAAATTCTGAAGCAGGATTGAAAGTTCTACAGACGTATTAATTTCTATCTACAAATCAATTTCAAATTTGAATTGATCTCAAAACTAATTCATATTTGTGTCAAAATATAAATTTCAATCTTAAATTCATTTTGAATCAGAATTTTTTTTTGCACGGGATGTACATAACCAAATAAAAATAAAATCCTTTATTACACATTACACAAGCCTCTATGAATTACTCCTTATAAGAATTTTTTATCATTATCGGCTCCGTAATATTCTCCGTGAGTAAAATTTCGGAAAATCAATTCTTGACTGACCTGTAGTTCAGAAAAGGCTTTTGTCTCTAAATTTTATAGCTTCAGAAATATCATAAATAAATATATAATAGATAAATTAATAAGCGTTAAAATTAAGAATCAGCTACTTTCATAAACCGCTGAGTTTACAAAGGCTATTTTAATTGTTAACAAAATTTAGCATTCACTTATTTCATGAATCGCAAAGTTTACTATTGGCTGGATTCGCGTGGCTAAGTTTTGAATTGGCAAAATTCACGATGCACCAATTGTAACAAATGTCAACATTACGTAAATAGTTTATTTTGAAATTATTTTATTCTAATGTCAAGATATGCATTTGTTTATTTTTTGGAGTTTACTCCTTAAGAATCGATTTTCATGTATAAGGCGCCCGGTATGAGAAAAATATGAGGGGTAAAATCTACTGATGAACGACCTCGTTACGTTTTTGGTGCGCAACCTCTATTCTGCGCAAACTTTCTCTTTTTAGGCGCAAGCATTCAAACGTTCACGGGGTATGTTGCGGGTCAGCTTACGCATTAAGTATACCTATATACTACGTTATTAGTTATTAGTAATAACTTATTATTATATAAAATATATAGGTATATAATATATACAGCCACGCGCATTAATTCAAATAGGTATTCAAGTTTATAGTTGAATTAAAAATTGTATAAATTCGGTCGTTTCTAAAGTCTAAATGTTGAAAATCTAAAATTATGCCCTTTGTCAAATTTACAAAACCTCAAAAAGAATATAACGCCAAGTGTAAATTGAGCGTAAAGTAAAAAATGACAAAGAAAAAATCCGCGAATTTTCGAAAAAGGCAGTCACTTAAAAATAAACAATTCAAATAAAATGCTGCATTAATAAAATAATGCCAATCTGACATAAGCTAATTTATGAAAATGATTCTAAAGAATAATTCAAAGTAACAAATAAACGAAAAAAAATATTGAAATTTGAAAAGATTGTCATTTCTCAAACAATATTATTTCAAATATTGAATTTCCGTAAAATTGAAAATCGTAAAAATGTTACCGTTTTAGAATCTAGAAAAGCAATTTTAGCTGATACTTAGCCTAGCATTACGTAAAATTAGCCGATTCAAAATTTTCAAATAATTAAAAATTCCGATTCAAATAATCATTTGTCGTGTTCGGCTTACAAAACCTACCCCGGGGCAGTGAATACAAAAGCATTTGATTGAACCTCAAATTAAATTTTTAAATCTTGAAAACTTCCGATCCAGTCAGCTGCTATTCGTTTGTTTTACCCCGGGGTTGGTTTAATAAGCCGAATACGATAATTAATATATTTACTTTCAATTGCATATTGTATTAACCTGATATTAACTTACAACAACTGTCAACTTGCGGAGGTTTTATCGTAAATTTTATATTTTATTTATAATTGATATAAATATAAATTTATATCAATTGATATTTATTTCAAAATTGAGAAAATTACTCAATGAATAAAAATCAATCTATAGATGTGTCATGCATACTCTAAGTAATATAAGAAATACATTCATTTACCCTTATTCACTAATCTATTTATTTTATAATCGTTCGTAAGGAGTAAACTTCAGTCGTGCGTCGGAGCTGACACACACTTTTTTTTTTATTTCAGTTTTTTTTTATTTCTTTTTTTTTAATTAGCCGTATTTAAAAATATATCATTCTATTAATTACAATTTTTTAAATTCGCTCGATTTACTATTGAGTTTTTTAATGTTTATCTTTTTTTTAGTTGGTTGAATTTTACTTTATAACATTTTAAGGTTGGTAGAAGTTTACATTTTGCATTATTTTTACTAATCATTATTTAATACTGTCTTTTTTAATGATCGCCTCATTTTATAAACGGCATCATTTTCAGTTTTAAAAATTTTTAGTTTACAAACGTCCCAGTTTACAAACGGCTACTTTCTAGTAAATTTCAAAACATACTTAAATTAATGTCCACGATGTACACGATATATACACGATATAACGCGGCTTGTCACGACGATAGCGTCGCCAATTTACAACGGATCTTTACCAAACTCAACATACTTATTCTACAGATTGGTACGAAGTCAAGTTTGAAGATAAGTTTAATCGGTCAAGTAATTTAGAAATGCCAGGATTTCAAAATTTTCAAAATCATAAAAATTCATATTTCTTCACTTTCTTACTCGAATAACTTTTGAATGGGATTACTTATTGAATCTCTCTTTATTGCATCTGAAAGCTATTTAAATAAGCTTCAATTTGAGTACCATATCATATGTGTAGTCTTGAAATTAACTCCTATTCCGCTATGCTAATTATGAAATTTGCTATTGCATTCTTTCAATTTTTTTTGTATACAACCCTAGTAATTTTGCACGACTCATGATGCAAGGCATCAGAGAGTGCTTTACGATCGTAAAATTTTTTTCGCCCCATTTTAGCAACTATTATTAGTATTATATCCTTGTTAGTTCACGGAATCAAGTTATTTTGCATACTATTGTCGAGATAATTTAATGGAGATTAATTCCATATTTGCTAAAAATTAATTTAGTGCAATAGAAACGGAAAAAAATATCAAAATAGGTCAAAAAATTTTTCTGTCCGTCATATATGAAACTCCGGAAACACGGTAACTTGTGAAAAAATCAATTATTTGAGTTAAATTTTTTTTTTTCAATTCTAATCGACAATTGTAGGTCACCGAATGCGAATGGCTAATTAATTCAGTGTCGTTTAATTACAATTAATAAAAAACGAAAACTACAAGACTGTATACCTATATATATCCATGTAAAATAACATGGATGGTGATATATCTATATCTATAGATATTATGTACATTTATTCCACCAGAAGCGCTTGTGCAGTACCTTCCTAGTACAGCTGTTTTTTCGGCAACTAATTTTGAACTTGTTTTTTTTTTTTTTTTTTTCTTTTTTTTTTTAATATTTATAATTAAATGAGCATTATTTGAGTCGTGCACTTTTGGATTTTTTTCCTAAACTTTTTTTTTTCATTCATTATGAAA